GAGTCTGAAGAAAGACCAGAGTCCCCAGGCCTTTATTGGGAGCCAGATACATGTAGATCTCCATCTCCCTGGTCAGTGTGTTCAGAAGAGGAGGTGGAGTTTGGTATCTTCTGGTTTAGCGAGGACAGAGAATCTTCTCCTGGTTGGTCTACACCTGGACATGAACCCAGACCAGACTCCCCCGTCCCTGATTTTACTCATCCACTAACAGGGCCCCTCTATACCCACTCGGCTCTAAGGTCCACATCCTCTTTGTCGCTGTCTTCAGATGAAGGATCTGCTCAGTCTCTGCCTTTTCTGCTAGAAGACCGAGCAGAAACTCCAGGCTCTACAGCATCTCAGAATGAATGCAAACCGGACTCGCCTATTCCCCAGTTCACACCTTACCAGGCTGAGCTCCGTCACAGTAAGGTTGCTTCTTCATCTTTGGAGTCGTTGACATCAGATAAAGACACGGACACTGATTTGTGTACGACTTGGCTTTTTGATGACCGAGCCACGTCTCCTGGTTCCAGGACATCCAAAGAGGAGTGTGAACATCTCTCACCTGATTCTCCTGTTCCTTCCTTTCCTCTGGCACTAGAAGAATCCATCATCTACCTCCCAGCTTCCAGGTCCACTTCAACTCAGTCGTTGTATTCAGATCCAGAGATGGATGAATCTTTCTCAGAGGTCATAGAATATCACGCCTCATCTCCTCAAAGTTCAGACAGACCATTTTCTCCAGATTCTCCTATTCCAGACTTTTCACAGAGATTATTGGTCCCATTTCATGAGCTCATTTCCAACAGGTCTTTTTCACCAGAATCAGATATTTCTGAAGTCGAATATGCGCCTTTAATTTCACAGATATTTGCTTTAGAGATCAGAGCAGATTCAGAAGATTCTGAAACCGAGCACGGGTTACTGTCTCCTGACTCGCCTTTACCCGCGTACCCCATGGCCTTCGTGGCTGATTCAAGGTTCAGATACAGGTCCACCTCTACTGACTCTGAGCTCTCAGATCAGGAACTGGAGACAGAGTTTTGCCTAACTGGGCTTTTTGAGGACCGAGGACCTTCTCCTTGTTCAAGGACCTCCAGGGAGGAGCTCAGACCCCTTTCTCCAGAATCACCAGTTCCTGAGTTTAGACCGCATGACTCAGCAATGCTTAACATGGAGCTCAGGTCTATATCACCTGAATCGGTGTCTTCAGATCCAGAAACGTCATCATTTCCAACCTGGAAAGACTGGTTCTACAGCAGACCTTCTTCTCCAGAATCTTTATCATCAACCAGGCTTCCTCCTGATTCCCCTTTGCCCGACCACCATTGGCCAACATCTGAACTACCTAGACCTGCTTTTGGAAGTCGGTCTTCATCCCCTGAGTCGGCCTGTTCAGATGTTGAATTCATCGTCTTAAGTTTAGGATCATTAATGTACAACAGACCGTCTTCCCCAGGATCAGGAGCATCTGGAGAAGATGGTCTGTCTCCAGACTCACCAATATCCGACTACAAAGCAGCAGTGCGAGAAAACATCATCATTAACGTTGGGTATAGATCAACTTCCCCTGAGTCTTTAGAGTCGGACGTTGAATATGCTTTAGGAGAGCTTCTTCTAACGATGGGGTTTGGTGATGAAGATAGACCAGAGTCTCCTTGGTCACAGATCCAGGACATGTCATCTTCATCTTCACATGAAGGCATTGCCCAATACCAAGCCATGTCACCTGATGCACTGAAGTCACTCAGAGACATTAGAGGTGGATCTCAAGAATCTTTTGGGGACAGCAGGAGACTGTCACCAGACTCAATGCTTCCTTGTTTTACTAAGAAATTAGGAGAGACCAAGGTACCTGAGAGGAACCCTGAGGCCTCATCCTCAGAATCTCTGTGCTCAGATACAGACCCTGACAGAAGAAGACTGTCACTACAGCCAGGAAGATCCGACGATGAGTTTCCGCTGCCTGAGTTCACAGAAGCTGCAACGAGCCATCAATTAGCTAGATCTGCAGCTGAAGAACCACATCCACCAGGCCAGAGGACAGACACACCAGAGTCAGTGGACCTGCTAGCAGATCCCAGCGGGGGGGTGGTCTGTAAACCATCAGTGGAGCCTCCCTCACCTGAGCCATTAGCCGCTATGGCAGCTAAATACAGTCTGGTCTACGGCGCTGAGCGATGGCGTCTGGTCTCTCAGGTTCATGATCCTCAGTATGCAGGAGAAACCTGCAGGAGTAAAACAGCTTTCATAAAGTTTCATGGTAGAACAGATGGATATGAAAGGACTGAGATTATTGATGATGGGGAAAGACCTGACCAGAACCAGGAGGACAAAGGTCAGCATACAGTTTCTCCTGGTTTCACGGACAGAACTCATACTAAAGCAGAAACACCTCCACCAATGATGGAGTCTGGTTCATCATCAGGACCAGCTCCTTACAGACAGTCAAAGTATGCCTTTGAACCAGTTGAGGCCCAATCATGGTCATGTGGCTCAGCACCAGGATCTGACCAAGAGAGGGTTCATCTAGAATCGCTGTTTCCAAGTTTATCCAAGGCGGAAACTTGTTCCCCAGTCAGCGGGTTCAGCCCCCCCCCAGTGCCAGAACAGGTCCGGCGTCTCAGATCCACACCATCATCTCCTGGAACTCAACATTCAGATTTTGGTTTCATGCAACTGAATTCCGAGTCAGATTTAGCTGAATTCAGGTCATCGTCTCCAGAATGGGGTCTGGTCTGGTCCGAGGATCAGGAGGAGAGTCAGAGGCCTCTGTCCTCCCAGTCTGTGCCCGAGTTCAGACCAGTGTCCTTCCAGTTGGCCATATCCATGGCTGAGCAAAGGGCGTCATCTCCAGAATCCCTTCCAGAGGATCTTCAGAACATGTCGCTCCCTCCAGACTCCCCCATCCCTCAGTTTACAGCAGCATTGCAGGTTTACCCCATGAACTGTCGGAGCTCGTGCTCATTCTCTGAATCGGAGTCCAGTGATCCCGCTGAATTCCTCATCATGTCGGATGGGGACACCAACCGACCCTCCTCCCCGGACTCTGAGTCATCCATCAGTCAGTTCAGTCGGCTGGTGCACGATTCCCCCGTGCCTGAATTCATGAGAATATTATCTTGGTATTTTATGGATCCTGCTCCCTGTGAGCGGTCTTCCTCACCAATGTCTTTGTCGTCAGACTCTGAGTTTGTGGCCTTACCCGTTGAGTGTTGGGTTGATGATAAACCCAGACCTGTTAGCCCAGAAAGCCTCCAGTCTGAAAAGGATTTTAGCTTTGATGACAGATTATCAGCCTTCAGCTCCAACATTCAGCCCGACTGGTTGATGCCTTCCTCTGGGTCAGAACAGTCTTCATCGTTCCCTCAGACCAAACCAGCAGCCTGGTCTCCGTCATTCTTTAAATCTAGTCATGAAAGGTCATCTGAAGAACCTGATTGGCCAAACGTCCCAGAAATCTGGACGCACGAGAAAGAAAATCTTCCTAGATCAGAAGCTGATGAAGATATGAGAAAAGACTGGTCTCCATCATTGGTTAAAGATGTGAAAGCAGAGGAAGCAGAGGTCCGGGCCGGTAGAGGGGAAGAATGGCAGAGAAAAGCAGTTCCTGACAGGGTAAGACTGAGAGCATGATAAGGAAAAACTAACAGAAAGACTTGATCTTTAACCCCGGGTGTATTCTGCTAACCTCCATTCCTGGAGTTGATAGAAATCCTACTAATCCTCTGATGTCCTCCAGCTGTTGTGTGGCGTGATGGGAAAGCTTGCAGACACATGTGGACCTTTGTCTTTTTGCAGAGTTTAAAGTGTGCCGTGCCACTAATCCTCTCAGACGGTGTTAGAATCTGCTTCTGATTCATCATTTCACCAACAGGTTCCCATCCAAATCCCGCCGTTTCCTGCCTCAGCAGGAAGTGGCTTTAAACCAGGTCTGCTCTTCTTTGATGACCAGCCAGTCGCTCCACTTCCCATCCTGCTGCCTGATCAGGCTTCCTATAAAACACACCGGACTGTCACTCCGGTTCTACTGGTCTGTGACGAAGCCTCACGCTCGCAGCCCCGTGTTTCTGGAGAGTTCCCACCGTGGGAACACGTCCAGCCCAGGGAAGCCCTTCCACCCAGCTCAGACCAGCCTTTGGAACCAGACGGGGAAGCTGCAGTATTTTCCGGCACTGTGTCTCCAGTTGTTTGCAGCTCCAGATCTGTGGGTTCCCTCAGGAGAAGGTCTGAAGCTGCTGAGGCCTTTCCTTTAGGCTCCAGGAGAGTCCTCTCTGAACTGGAGAGAACCGCCTCAAACGTCATTGAGAGGAAACCCAGGGAGTCTCCACATCCCTCTGATTCAGATGCAGAGTTTTTTGACTGCCGACAAGACTTTTCAGAACCAGAAGAGGAGTTAAGCTATCATATTTCTGAGCCTCCTTCACCGAGGCCAATGGGGAGTCCAGATCCGGGTGTCCTGGATGAGAGCAGCCGGCCTCTCCTTCGCCGCCTCTCCTCTGGCAGTCAAAGTCTGGGGGAATTCGCTTATGACTCTGATGTTTCAGGGGTGGGTGCTGCTGAGGGTGGCCTCCCCATGTGTGAGGAGCTGCCATCTAGAGGTCAGGCAGGATATTACGATGAAGATGACTTCCTGGGAATGGTAAGAGGATGAGCTAAAGGCTGCACCTGACTCACCTGGCTTTTGGCAGATTGCGGTGGTGATGCTTGAAACTTTTGGATTTGGACTAAAAGCACCTTAGATTGATTTTATGACACTGATTGGAGTTTGTTTTTGCATGAGAGCCTGAACCGGGAAGGAAGAAGCAAATAAAGCGATTTACTGCAGACCAACCTTCCCCTGATGCCTGCATGTGGTTTTCCTACTTCTTTTCTTCACCTTCTCTCCATCTCACCTTCATGTTCGGCCCCCCTAAGACATGATTCCCCCTGCGCCCCCCCATGGGAAGGGAAGGTGAAGAAACGTGTGGCGTGTTGTAGCTGCAGAGTTCACCATGCTGGCTGTTTGCTGTCTCCAGGAGATAGCCGAGGAGCTAGGAGCGCTGTCCTCTGATAGCTCAGAGGAGGAGGTGCTGACCACCAGGGTGGTCCGACGCAGAATCATCATCCAGGTAAAAGCAAGCATGATGATGATGATGATGATGATGATGATGAAGCAGTTGGCAGGCCTTCATTAAACATAAGAACCAAAATCCCTCCAGAAGGTAGAAAAGTTCTGGTCCAGTTCAGTCATGGTCAAACGCTAAGCTAACTGCTACATGTTTCAGGTTAGCTAAACAGAGAGCTATTCTACTTCTGTATGATCATATTCTTTAACAGCGCCCTCTGCTGGCTGAGAAAAGCAGCCTACGCCAATATCACCCAAAACAATCATTGAATATGTGAAACGCAAATAATTTGTATGTTTTTTTATTCGAGACAAAAATTATTAAACATGATTTTAACTTGATCCACCGTTTCGCTTAAATTTTATAAGTTTGAATATTTAGTCGGTCCTTCAGCAGGATCTCTGAGGTAATGACTCGGTTCTGGGTCGATGACTCGGTTCTAGTTCGATGACTCGGTTCTGGGTCGATGACCCGGTAATGACCCGGTTTTGGGCCAATGACCCGGTTCTGGGCCGATGACCCGGTAATGACCCGGTTCTGGGCCGATGACCAGGTAATGACCCGGTTCCCCCCCGCCCCGGTCTCACCAGCAGAGCGTCCATGATGGCGTGCTGCTAACGGCGCCCCTCTGTGTTTCTGCAGGCCGACATCCTGCCGGACGTCCCCCCTCAGACGGTGACGGAGGAGAAGTTCACTGATGAAGACGGCAACATGGTGGTGAAGAAGGTGAGCGACCCCCCCCCATCAGAGGGTCCAAACTCCGCCTCCGCCGTCCGGCGCTAACCGTTGACTCCTCCCCTCCAGATCACACGGAGGGTGATCCGGCAGTTTGTGTCTCCAGACTCAGAGACGCAGCAGGTGGAGGACTCTCAGCAGGAAGCGACCCGGATAGAGGAAGGAGACGCTGTGTCCAGGGTGGTGAAGAGGACGGTGGTCCACAGCGCCGGAGAGCAGACAGAGGTGCTGCCTCCCTCACCTCATTCATCCTGTCCCTCACCCGTCCATCTTGTCCCTCACCCCGTCCATCCTGTCCCTCACCCCCATTCATCCTGTCCCTCACCCCGTCCATCCTGTCCCTCAACCCGTCCATCCTGTTTCTCACCCCGTCCATCCTGTCCCTCACCCCCATTCATCCTGTCCCTCACCCCGTCCATCCTGTCCCTCAACCCCATTCATCCTGTCCCTCACCCCGTCCATCCTGTCCCTCACCCCCGTCCATCCTGTCCCTCACCCCGTCCATCCTGTCCCTCACCCCCATTCATCCTGTCCCTCACCCCGTCCATCCTGTCC